TTTAGGGTTTAGGGTTTAGGGTTTAGGGTTTGGAGTAGGGGCTGCTGCAAACCCCGAGCTCGTTCTGGCTCTCTCCTTTCTATTATCTCTTCTTCTGAAAAATCTTTTTGAAATAAATTTTTAATTTTTAAAATAAAAATATTTCAAACATTTATTTTAAAACCTTTATTTTGAATTATTTAATTTGAAATATATCTTTTAAAATCTTTATTTAGAATTCTTTTCGAAATAAAATTTTTAAACATTTCTCTTTTTTAGCTTTTGTCTTTTTGTGTCAAATTTTCTCATCTTTTAAATTAAACAATTTATGAAATGATGAAATAGTGTATTTATTAATTAATTTGTTTATTTACTGATTTATTTGTTTGTTTATTAATTAATTTGTTTATTCATATAATTAAATAATTTATTTATTTAATTAAATAATCAATTTAAATAATTAATTAATTTAATTGAATAATTTATTCATTTAATCAAATGAATTACTTTTACAGATTTGTTTTTTGTGTTTTTCGCGGATTTTCGAATAGTCTCATTTTTGCGAAATTGTTTTCTTTTTTGGCGATTTTTTTTTGCGTTTTGGACGAAATTTGGAGCTTTATTTGAATAAAGTGTTCATAAGTTTGAATAAAAGGTTTATTTGCTCCATTAAAGTGTTTATTTGCATCAAACTGCACTCGCAGATTAGCGTTTCGGGATTTTTTGGAGACTTGGTCGAAAGCGGATTCAAAAGACTCGCGGGCGCCAAAGACAGCAGCGGCCTCTTCGGCCCCCACGGCGGAGTTTTGGACCGGGTAATCTTCCGAAAAAGGAAAAAAAGAAACAAAAAGAGACAAAAAGAAACAAAAAGGAGAATTAAAATGAATTTGTGGGATTTGTTTGATGTTAGAAAGAGAAAGAGGAGAGAAAATGACACAAAAAACAAAAAAAAAGAATAAAAAAGAATTAAAATCCAACAAATTAGAGCATTAGGAGGCAAACACTAAATACATATAATTATAAATTAATTTAATTTAAATTTATTTTATTTTATTTTATTTTATTTTATTTTATCTAAATTGGCTTGGGTTGATTTAATTCAACTTTAAATTAATTAAATAGTAATAATTAAATAATAATTAAATAACAATCAATAATAATGATATTTTAATAATAATTAATTAATTACTGAATATAATTTAGATGATAATTAGTTAGTGATTGAATAATAATTAAATAACAATTAAATAACAATCTAATAATTAGAAGATGCTTGGATGATAATTTCGAAATTAATGAAAATTCAAAAACAATAAAAAATAATTTAGAATTATTTAAAAGATAGTTTAAAAACATTAAAAAGACATTCTGGAGACAATTGGAAGATAGATTAAAAATAATTAAAAAACAATTTGGAGACATTTAAAAAATATAATTTAGAAATAATTTACAGACAATAAAAAAATAAAAAGAGACAATAAAGAATAATAAAAGGACTATAAAAAGAAAATTCGTTTTCAAATAAAAAGAAATGTAAAAGTAAAAAGAAAAGGAAAAAAAGATAATTGAGAGATTATAAAAAGAGAAAATAAAAAGTTAAAAAGATAATTAAAAAAAGAAAGTAAAAATATATTTAAAAGGATTAAGAAGATAATAAAAGGATAATGAAAAAATAAAAGTAAATAAAAATGAATAAATAATAATGAGGAATCTTAAAAGATGAAGAAATCATAAAAAAGATAAAATAATAAGAAATTAAAAATAAATAAAATGAAAATGGAGATACAAAAGTAGAAATGAAAAAGTGGAAAAGGGGCAATTAAAAATAAGAAAACAAAAATAATTAAATGAATAAAACAAAACATAATTAAAATGAAAGATATACAAAAAGCAGAAGAGGAAATAAAAAGGGAATGAGAATATAATTTAGAAATTATAAAAATAAAAGCAAATAAATAATAAAACGACAAAAATAAAAGAATTCAATAAACAGAGAAGAGACAATTTATGCATCAACTTTAATTAAATAGAAAAATCTATTAACAGCAGCAGCAGGTGCAGCAGCAGCAGCAGCAGCAGCAGCAGCAGCAGCAGCAGCAGGTAATATGTATGTACACCCCAAGTTTCGCATTCGATGGAGAAGTGCCTAGGCAGCTTTTGCGAAGATATCCAAAGTACATTTGTTGCTGCTTTTGCTGCTGCTGCTTTTGCTGCTGCTGCTGCTTTTGCTGCTGCTGCTGCTGCTGCTGCTGCTGCTGCTGTTCTTTTGTGCGCAGTTGGACTCCATGACTCTGCCGATTCCTTTTCTGGTTTTCTTCATGGTGCTGCGGGGCCACTTGTAGGGCTGCTGGCTGAAACCCTAAACCCTAAACCCTAAACCCTAAACCCTCGGAAACCCCCGGAAGCAGCACTTTTGGAAGACGCAGCCCCCACAAAGGAGAAAAAAGGAATTAAATTGAAAAGAAAAAGAATTCAAATAAAGGGAAAGTGGAGCTGCGGAGTTGAGGGAATTATTTATTCTTCAGCAGCAGCAAAAGAAGAAGGTCGAAATTAAATAAATTCAAATAAATCCAATTCAACAAATCCAAATTAATTCCTCCATATCATTAAATCCAACAAATAATTCCGAATTCTTTAATGCAAGGGAAAAAGAATAAAAAAGAATAAAAAGAAAAAAGGGAAAATTCAAAACGCGAGAAAGCCCGCTTCTGCTCTTCCGGTGTATGTACACCTGCACCCTGTGTGCAGATGCGTGCTGTCTAGACACATAAAGCACATCTTTGTGCTCCGAAAATGCAAATGAAGGGAATAATAATTAAAAATAATATAAAATAGTGTAAACTGGCATTAAATAATGCAAAATAATGCAAAATAATGCAAAAAACGCGAAGTTATGCAAAACGTTACGTCAAAGCCTGCATGCATGCGCATGCGTTTGCCTACGCGGGAGACAGACAAATATGGATTAAGTCCTTATCAATTGGAGAATTTAATGGACTATTACTCAACTAGATGACAAAAACATGAATTGATTAAAATATAAACTGAATTATTTGACCGAAGAAGTCCCGAGGGAAGCGCATGCACCAGGTGTACGTACACCGCAAGTGCGCGTCTGCATGCGCATCTGCGGCTCCGCAAATTTGTGAATTTTTGCGTTTCGAGGCCGCATTTGCGCGCACAATACAATGAAAATGCCTACAAATGGAAATAAATGAATAAAATGAACATAAATAGACACAAATAAAGGGGAAAATCGAAAAAAGGACTTCAAGGCGCTTCAAAAAGACACTGGGGGCGCGCTTGGGGCTGCATGCAGAGCTGGAAAAGGGCTTTTTCGCCGCTTTTCTATTTCCTCTTTACATTTTGTCTTTTTCGAAATTAAATTAAGCCCTTAAAAGGCTTCAAGCCCGCTGCATGCGGGGCTGCATGCGGGGCTGCATGCGGAGTTCTTGCATTTGTTGGAGTGTCTAGACACCCCACGCAGCGCAGCCCTCCGGCCTTTTTGCTGCTTTTCTTTGGCAGCAAATGTGGCTTAAGGGCTGGCAATAAGTTCAACTGGCATTTTCTTTGTTTCTCTTTTTCTTTGCAATCACTTTTATTTCCTTTTCCTTTTTGCAGCCACAAAAGGCTTTCTTTCCGCCTTTCGGCTTCTCTTTCGCCGCCACACAGCTCCTGGGCTCTAGGGTTTAGAGTTTAGGGTTTAGGGTTTAGGGTTTAGGATCTAGGGTCTAGGGTTTGGGCTGGGGCTGCGAATGCAGGGTAGGGTTTAGGGTTTAGGGTTTAGGGTTTGGGGTCTAGGGTTTGGGACAGACGGCTGGGGCTGCGAATGCAGCGCATAGGGGCTTGCAAGGGTTTAGGGTTTAGGGTTTAGGGTTTAGGGTTTAGCGGGGAATTAAGCGGGGAGCCTTAATGGACTTATAAGAACAAAAGAGGAGGGAAAAGATTTAAAAGAGAAAGTGGAACAAACAAGGAAAAAAGATGAAAGGCACGAAATAAACAAGAAATTTAAAAAAGAAAAAAGAAAAGACAGAAGAAAAGGCGATTATTAGAATGGAGAAAAAAAGAAATAAAAAAGAAAAAGAAAAAAAGACAAAAAGGAAAAAAATAAGGAAAAAAAACAAAAAGAAATAAAAGGAAGGAAGATATAATGAAACAAATGGGAAATTTAAAAAGCGAAAAATAAAAAAAGAGATGAGGGGAGAAATAAAGAAAAGATTTAAAAAGAGAAACAAAAATAGAAAGGGGAGAAAAATAAGAGAGAGAAAAGAAACCAAAAAAGAAAATTAAAAAAGAAAATAAAAGAAGATGAAAAGAAATAAAATAAAAATTGAAAGAGATAAATAAAGAAATAAAGTGAAAACAAATAAAAGTCATATCAAAGAGGCCTTTAATAGGGAAAAGAAGGACATGAAAATAAAACAAAAAATAAAAATAAAATAAAACAAAAAATAAAATTAAAATAAATTTAAAATAAAACAAAAAATTAAATTAAATTAAATTTAATATAAAACAAAAAATAGAATAAAAAAAGAAAAAACAAATGGAGATTCTCAAACTGAACTCTTCAGATCTTTGGCTCTTTCCTTTCTTCCTCAAATCAACATTAGAAATTAAATCAAAATTAAATTAATTAAATAAATAAATTAAATAAATTAAATTAAATTCATTAAATTAATTAAATTAAATTAAATTAAATATGTTTTCAAGACACTGGGTACTGCAGCAGCCCAGGGTCACCTAAAAGCCCCCGGGGCCCCCAGGGGGCCCCTGGGGGCCCCCGGGGGGCCCCCGGGGGCCCCATGGGTCTAAAACTTTCTGTGAAGAAATGTGAAGGAAATAATAAATAAAAAGGAATTAATTAATTCATTTATTGCTTTATAAAAGGAATGGAATGGAAAAGGTGCCGCAGAGGCGAGGGAAGGAGGAAGGTCCCAGCAACTCACCACCCCAAACCCTAAACCCTAAACCCCAAACCCTAAACCCTAAGCCCTAAACCCCAAACCCTAAGCCCTGAAACGATGGATATATCTGTGGACACCTTCATCTCGTTGCCGAAGTTCGGCCCCGCCCCATCAGCCGCCGCGGGGGCCCCCGGGGGGCCCCCCTTGGGGGGCCCCCCGGGGGGCCCCCCCGGGGGCCCCCCGGGGGGCCCCCCGGGGGCCCCCGGGGGGCCCCCCGGCCCCGTGGCGCAGCGGCTGAGGGCCTCCGGAGGGGCCCCCAGCCCCCGGGGCGGCCACAGTGCCACCTACTTTGGGGAAAAGATATACTTGTTTGGGGGCCAGGAGTTGTTGGGAATAAAAGAGGGTTTTAAATATTATAATGAAGTTTTTATTTTGAAACTCAAAACCCTCAAGTGGCAGCGCCTCGAAAGGGCCCGCGGCTGCCCCCCAGCCCCCAGATATGGCCACTCTGCATGCGCTTGGGGCCCCAAAATCATTTTCTTCGGGGGCAAGGGGGGCCCCCAGACTTACTTCAACGACTTGCATGCCCTCGACGTCAACACCCACACTTGGTACCGGGGCCCCACCCCGGGGGCCCCCCCGGGGGGCCCCCCGGGGGCCCCTCCCGGGGGCCCCCCGGGGGCCCCTCCGGGGGGGGGCCCCCAGGGGCCCCGCCAGGGCTCCGCGAAAGGGGGCCCCCAGGGGGGCCCCCAGGGGGGCCCCCAGGGGGGCCCCCAGGGGGGCCCCCAGGGGGGCCCCCAGGGGGGGCCCCAGGGAGCCACCAAGGGGGGGCCCCAGGGGGGCCCCCAGGGGGGCCCCCAGGGGGGCCCCAAGGGGGGGCCCCCCGAGGCAGCGTGTGGGGGCCCCGGGCCCCGTTTTTGGCACAGCTGCAACTTGAGGGGCCCGGAAATGTACATATTTGGAGGGGCTCGAGATAAAGTTCTTTTAAATGATTGTTTTTGTTTGGATTTGAAAAAAATGGAATGGAAAGAAATAAAAGCGGGGGGAGAAAGCCCCAAACCCCGCGCAGCGCATGCAGCCGCCCTCGTGGCCAACCACCTCTTCGTCTACGGCGGCCTCGGCAAAACGCAAGTCCGCAAACCCTAAACCCTAAACCCTAAACCCTAAACCCTAAACCCTAGGTTCTAGCGTCTAAACCCTAGCGCCTAGGCCACAAACTCTAGACCCTGGAGACTAAACTCTAAACCCTAGCCGCTAAACCCTAGACCCAAGACCCTAAACCCCAAACCCTAAACCCTAAACCCTAGATCCTAAACCCCAACCGCAGCAGCAGCAGCAGCAGCAGCAGCAGCAGCAGCAGCAGCAGCAGAAATGCGCGCCGGCAAAGGGAGACAACTAAAATGTAAAAGTGGTGAAAAGAAAAGGAGACAAAAAGGAGAAGAAGGAAAACAAAAAGAAGCAAAAAAGGCAAAAAGATTTCTTAAAAACTTTTTAAAAACTTTAAAAATTAAATTAAAAATCAAAAAAGGAAGACTCAAAAGACCACAAAGAAGCAGCAAAAGTGGGGACAAAAGAAGTCAAAAAGAATGGACAAAAAGAAACAAAAAAGAAAAAATAAAAAAAATCAAAAAGTTAAAAAATCAAAAAAGCCCAAAATTAAAAAATAAAAAACAATTAAAAGGCCCTCTTTCGAGACCCAAAGCTGCACAAAAGCACCAAAAGAAAGAATTCAAAAGAACAAAAAGAAATGATAATAAATTTAAATTTAAAAAATAAAAAAAGAATAAAGAGGAATAAAAAATGAATAAAAAGAATAAAAAAAGGTAAAATAGAAGCCAAAATAAAGCACTTCTTTGCTGCCATTTAAAACAAAACAAAAAGAAATAAAATAAAAAATAAAAATAAAAAATAAAAATTAAATTAATTCCAAGTTGCAAAGAAACGCATGCAAACCCCCGCAGCCCCAAAAGCCCCAAAAACTGCATGCGCACAGGGGCCCCCAAATAGAGCTGCATGCATGCAGCCCGATTTGGGGGCCCCCCTGGAGCTAGGGGGGCCCCTATGGGGCTTGGGGGCCCCTGTCGGGCCAGGGGGCCCCCCCTTGGGGGCCCCGGAGGCCCCCTGTGCGGGTCTTAGGGGCCCCCCATAGGTCTTGGGGGCCCCTGTGGGGCCCGGGGGGCCCCCTGTGGGGCCCGGGGGGCCCACTGTGGGGCCCGGGGGGCCCCCTGTGGGGCCCGGGCGGCCCCCTGTGGGGCCAGGGGGCCCCACAAGGGGCCCCCTGGACTAGTACAAAGTGGGGAGCAGCAAACCCTAAATGAGGGAGAAAAGGTATTAATGCAAAAAGGAATTAATTAAAGAAAGAAAGAGTTTAAATGCCAAAAAGGATTTATTCTATTTGAGGTAAAAGGGGAAAAAAACCCTTAATTCCTGCAGCTGAAAACGCCCAGCAGCAGCAGCAGCAGCAGCGCAGCAGCGCAGCAGGGGGCCCCAGGGGGCCCCTGTGGAGCAGCAAATTTGAAATAAATAATTAAATAAAAAAGAAAATAAAAAGAAAAGATTTGGGAGACAGCAGCAGCAAATAATTCACCAAAAACAAACGCAAGCAGCAGATTGGAAACAGCTCACCGAGAAGCAGCAGCAAATGCTGCAGCAGCAGCAGCAGCAGCAGAGAATGCAGCAGCAGAGCTTGCAGCAGCAATGACTGCAGCAGCGGATATTGCAGCAGCAGCAGCAGCAGCAGCAGCAGCAGCCGCAGGCGATGAGGCCGCAGACATGGATGGGCTGGCGAAGTCCACAATCGCAGCAGCAGCAGCAGCAGCAGCAGCAGTAGCAGCAGCAGCAGCAGCAACAGCAGCAGCAGCAGCAGAGATCGCAGCAAAAAAATAATAAATAATGAAGAAAACAAATAAAGAACGGACAAGAAAAGTGCAAATAAATAATAAATATATTTTAAATAATAAAAAAATAAATATCAAATAGATAATTAAATTAGATAATAAAAAGGAAACAGCAAATAATTAATAATTGTTAAAAATGGTATTATTTAAAAACAAATAAAAAATAGATAATACACAAATAACAAATAAACAAAAATGGCAAATAAATACCAAATAGATAATAATAAACAAATATAAATATAAATATAAATGGCAAAAAAATAAATAAATAAATAAATAAATAAATAAATAATAAGTATAAATATAAATAAATAAATAAATATGTTAATATACATTGAATAAATAAATAAATAAATAGATAAATAAATAAATAAATGGCCAGGCAGCCAAAGATGAGTGTGCAGACAAACAAAAGAACTATAAATAAAAAATAAAATAAAATAAAATAAAATAAAACAAAATAAAACAAAACAAAACAAAACAAAATAAAATAAAATAAAATAAAACAAAATAAAATAAAACAAAACAATTAAAACAAACATTTATAATAAAATCTGCTGAGGCCTCTGCGTTGCTGCTTGGTTTTGCTGCAGCTTCTGGAAGAGCCAGCAGCAGCCGCCGCTGCAGCAACGCCCGCAGCAGCAGCAGCAGC